ATTCTATTGGTATTATACAGAAAAATTTAATATAACCAAACTTACCGATCAATGAATCCCAGTTACCGGTTGTTGAAAAGTCACTCCAAAATTCTTTTACGGCCTCTTCGTCAGCTCTTAATACGTCTTCTGCCGATATGGTGTTAGCGTAGGCTATGTAATCGTCACTGTCAACGGGCTCCCCACTCTCCAATTCGTTTCCCGGACCCAAATATCGATGATATGGTAACACGAAGCGCGGAGGCATACTGCGAAAGAAATGTTAACGAGGTTGCCTTATATAGAGAACCTAATTCAGAAAACGCCTAAAAACAAACCAGCAGCATCGGTTTTGAGTCTAAACATACTGGAAGCTTGTCGCAAAAACATATTGTTTTTGTTCCAGCAGCTACAACAGCAGCACCCTGTATAAAAAAATTATATTCTTTTTAAAAAACCTCTCATTCCTTAACCAGCGACCACAACAAGTGGTATATATTATTATAAAATTTAGTTATATGGTTAAGTTTTCGAAAAAAACTTGTAGAGATAAAAAAGTTAGTCAATGAATTGGGCTTTTCAGTCATACTTTTTTAAAGAAAAAATTTTCATTTAAAAAAAAGTTGTAAGAAAAAATATCTTAGGGGTTGATTATTTCAACCCCTTCTAAGCATACTTCAGGGTTGAAAAAATTTCAAAAAGTGTACTTTTATTGACAGATAATGTTTACCAAGTTTCGTGTCTTTAGCTTGATATGCAGGGAAAATATTTTTTTTTAATTTTCGAAGTGGTGTAACTTTTCCGGGGAGGGTTTTTCAAAAAATTTTATACCAAACACTCACATTAATTTTAATCACAGAATTACCCCTTTCATTTTTTCGGTGTATATTGACACTATCCCACACTATGAGGGAAATCCACATACGTTAAATATTTTTATTGATAATTGTGAAAGTTTTATTGCTCAATTTTATAGTGCAACAAACACGCAGTTAAGTAGTTTTCTCCTAAGAGCTATAATGGGTAGATTAGTATGTAGAGCTTTAATTCTTATAGGTTCAAGAACTGAATTGAGAATATGGGATGAGATTAAAGAAACCCTTAGATTAAGTTTTGGTGATCAAAGGAATATAGATTGTCTTGTCCAAGATCTATAGTTTTAAGTCCACACAGAAATGAAACGCCACACAGTTTTGGCATGCGCTGTCAAGAAGCGCGTAGTTTAGTAATAGGTAAATTAAATTCAAGTAATGAGACAATTGATGAAAAAAGAGTAAAAATTAATAATTATAATGAATTAGCTCTTAAGACTTATATTAGGGGCCAATTACAAAATAATGTGCATCTACGTAATCCTGATTGTTTAGAAAGGGCAATGTCCTTAGTCATTGAAGAAGAAAATTTCCTATACAGTCAAAATAGAAATAATTCTCTAATTAATCAAAATTATAAAACAAGTCCTAAAATAATTCGACAAAATCCGCAAAATGTTCGCCCACAACTTTCTCAATATTTCTATCCTCCTAATTTTCAAAATAGACAACCAAATAATCAACATATACCCCTGCAACAATCGTCGATGCAACCAATTCAATTTCAACCAAACTCTGGTTATAATTTCAACAATTCTAATTTTAATCGCTCTGCTCCTCAAACTTCCCAAATACAATGGAGACCTAATAATAATAATAATAATAATAATAATTTGCCCCAAAAAAGATTTCGTAAATATCAAGCAGATTCATGATGTTGGTTCTGAAATATGAAGAGGTGATTGAAATGTGCTACATCTGTGATTCTCCTGTAGAAGGGTCACTTAAGAAACATATATTAAAACATCTTAAGTGTCCCTGCTGCAAAAAACGTTTTTATAAAACAGCCAAAGTTATAAAAGTTATAAAGTATTGATGTAAATTTAAACAAAGATCTTATATCGTGTATGTCTGTTTTTAACAATTTATTGTTACTCATTATTTTTTAAACAAATTTATTTATTGTTACTCATTATTTTTTAAACAAATTTATTTATTTGTTACTTATCTTTTTTTTAGTTTGGAAAGGGTGTAAAAATCTCTTGCACACGGTTGAGTTAGTAAAAGGATATGTGTACACCCCGCAGATTATTTGTAGAAGCTGGATAACGTGCAAGGATTGTGCAGAATAACATGATAGATTTGGTATGTGTACACCCCGCAGATTATTTGTAGAAGAAGCTGGATAACGTGCAAGGATTGTGCAGAATAACATGATGGTATGTATTTTTTATCTAAATATCCCCCCTTTCAATATTATTATTATTAAATGAATTTAAATATATTTAATATTGATCCTTTATTACATTTTTTAATTTTTCATTTTCATCTACCCCTAGTATGAGGTAGCGTTTGTCCATTGGGTGAAAGAGCAATTTTATCTTTATTATTTAAACTAGAAACATCCTGAGAACTTAAAAAACGAAAAAAATCAACGATTTTCTTGTTTCTAAATACTATTATTTAAACTAGAAACATCCTGAGAAATTAAAAAAACGGAAAAATCAACGATTTTCTTTTTTTCTAAATACTAAATACTCTTTTTAATTTTTTTTTTAATTGTCCGAGACTATTTCTGTTTCTGTACTTTCGATATTAGATTTTCTTTTTTCTAAATACTAAACGGATTCTTAAAAGAAAAAACAATAAAACTTCATAAAGTATCACTACCTACTATTGAATGCACGTGATAGCTACAATAGAGATAATAACCAACAGCAGCAGGCACGTGTTCCTGAGGTTTCTTGGAGTCGTCGGTGGGACTTAGGACGCTCTCTAGATCGGCATAGACATTGAAAGGGACCTTTCGTTTTATTTTTATAATTTTTAAAGTATACTTGCTCATTTTCTTTCGGCATACGATGGGTACAAACAGTTGTTTTTCGCAATCTTCAATATGTTTGTTTAACTTTGATTCAGAACGGATCACAAAAAATATTTTTTATGTGTATCCTTGTTGATTTGTTAAGAAACGAGACGGCTTAAGTTTTTTATGTGTGTATCGAAGGGGACATCAGTCTCAGTCCAATCATTATAGTGTGATATGCAAGTATCACCCTGTATGTATATTCTATTTAAGTAGGTTAAGTAATTATTACTTGTTTGCTTTTTAGACAAATTATATTTACGTTTAGTTATTATATTTAGTTATTATATCAACAATATTATGTACGTGCATTCCTTTTGGTCTTTTGAATTAGAACAATAAAATGATACAATTGAACGGTTGGTTTTTATTTATTGATTATCTTTATAAAACCCAACTATTAATTTACTACGAGAATACCACATGACGATCCTGCCACTCAAGAACTAGTTGATAATGGACATATAATTATTAATTAAGAAGATAATGGCTGGAGCTAATCAGTCAAAAGAAGAGGTGATTATTACACAAACTGGAAATAGCGGTGGAGTTTCTGGTTCAACAGCCAAGGGTGATGTTTCGGCCTTTGAAATTATGGGAGCTGTAGCGTTGGCATTAGTTACAATTATTATTGGAGCGATGCAGAAGAGCCATAGAAATAAAAATTAGACGAGAGATATCTAGATCCCAGGAAATAGTCTAAAGGAAGAGAGAAGAAATATTATTTTTTTTAGGCATTTTAGGTGAAGGAAGAATGGAAAAATTAATATTTAATACAAGGACAGTTGCTGTATGGAATGATTGAAGAAGAAAAAAAAATGTATAAAATGGAACAAATTTTTCTTTTGACTTTATAATATATAATAATGTATGTAAGTAATATTTATTTTACCATATTTTTGTGTACTTATTGTATATAAATGTCACTAGAATCATTTAAAGAAATTTATGAAGACAGCGTGTTTTCAAGGAATCTTAGCAAAGATCCTATAGATAGGCGTAATAATTTAGAAAAACTAATAAATATTTAGATAAGTTAAATAGTATAGAGACTGAATTTACTTTGGTTAGAAATACATTTAATGAAGGTAATTATGATATAGACATTAAAGCTAAAGCGAAAGCTATTGTAGATGGTACAGTTAAATTAATTAGTCGTATTAAGGAAATTTTAGAAAATAGAATATTTCAAATTCAAAGTAGTGATTCGTTAATAGGAGAAATGGCTGAAGCATTTAATTTAAAAACGGCCTCTGGCTTAATTCCCCTTATGGATGATACTGAGTCATCCATAAAAATACTTATCGATGTAATTGAGTTATACGACAGTTTTTTAGACGCTAATGGTAAACATGTTTTAACTAAATATGTATTAAAAGCACGATTGTCTCAAGGCGCAAAGCTTAGACTTAATCAAAATTATGCTTCTAATGAAGAGCTTATTAGAGATATTAGGGATAAGTTAATTATTAAAAAGTCAGTAGCGGCACTACCTGTAGAGTTACATAGTTTAAGGCAAAACAATAAATCTATAGAAACATTTGGAAAGAAAGTTGAAGACTTAATGATAAATTTATCAATAGCTCAAGCAGAAGGTAACAGTGCTTTGGAAAGGTCTCTAACAGTTGTGAATGAAAAAATAGCTATTAATGTGTTTAAATGGGCTTAAGGATGAGCAAATTAAAACAATTATTAAGGCTAGGAATTATAATAGTTTAGCAAATGCTATAGTAGGGGCTAGAGATGAAGAAACAATTAGAAAAACAGGTCCTTCGCAAATGTTCCATATGCGAGGTAATTCAAATATTAGACGAGGTAATACTTTTAACCATCGAGGCAGAAATAATTTTAGAAATAGCAATAGATATAACTTTGATTCTAGAAATAATGACTATAGAACTAATAATTTCACCCATTACAATAATAGAGGTAGAAATAATAAAAATTATAATAATTCAGGTAGAGGAAACAGTGGAGCACAAGTCTTTAGGGCTGGCAGACATAATTTCCCTCGGCATAATGGCTACTTTATGACAAATAACGTACAAACTGAGAATCAACAATTAGAAAATCGGGAAAATATGCAGTTTTTTCGGGAACACTAATTTTGAATTTTATTTACTATGAATGGATTAAATTTTATTAAAGTAGATTATTGCAATAAGGAATTAAGATTTGTAATTGACACAGGAGCGTCACTGAGTGTCATTTTTAGTAGATGTGTAAGAGATGAAAGTGATATAAATAAAAATAGAACAGTAAAAATACAAGGCATTTCAGGATCAGCATATACAGCAGGAACTTGCAATGTTAATCTTGACCTACACAATGGGTATGAGCTGAATCATGAATTCTCAAGTGAAATTGACGGTGTAATCGGAAGAGATATTTTTATTAAATATAAAGCTAATATAAATTATGAACATTTTTTCTTATCACTTGTAATAAAAGATGCAAAAATAGAAATACCATTGTACGCTGATTATGACGAATAAACTATTATTCCTGCTAGGTGCGAAATTCTTAATTATTTTAATGTTAATCATTCAGAAGAATATATTGCAATTTCAGAGGAAATGAGATGGCACACTTCTTATGAGTTTTCGGGGACCGGTCGATTTTTTTTAAATTAATTTAAATTAATATGTTATAGTACTTGCAAAAATAAGCATTTTTCATCATTGCGCCAAATCTCTAAGTGTACAGGGTGTCCCAGAAAAACGCACCGAAAGTTCGTACGCGAGGCGTTAAAAGTATCCAGTAATCGTTGTCCTGAAAGAATGTTGCTGTTGCTTTTTTCTTTTAATTTGACCAACGAACAATGAATGTGATATGATTACATGACTGTGCAATACAGGGTGTTTTAATTTACATGTCCCTTTCGAAATCGTAGTAAAACAAAAACAGATTTAGGTATGCCGGCCCTTGTTTCGGCATTATATAGCGAATTAGAAAGTAAAAATGTTTTTTTTTTAACTTTCTCGAGGCCAATTTATGCTTTTGAATTTATCTGAAAACTCTGCTTGTTATAAGTTACAATAAAAAACCTAGTCATGAGCCTTATTGGGACGTTCGATATAGGATAGGTTCATAAAAATATACCCATATATTATAAAGTATACAAATCTATATTTCGTTTCAAGTTTATTTTTCTCAAGTATAGGCTATGAAGTCATTGTTTACAACAATACTCAGCATTACGACAAATAAAGAACACCTAATCAGAGAAAAAGAAGCTGACGATTTAATCGCTAAGTTGGCTGTGAATGCGCCGATTTTGACATTTTTAAAAACTGACGTGCATTTTATTTGAATACGTTTTTGTGATAAATATTGAATTTTATATATTTTGTGTTGCCAGTTTATGTTAATTAACTTTGTAAGTATGTAATTCGAAAGCAAATATGGGGTTACTTATATTAGTTTATTTGAATTTTATATAGGATCATGGTTAGGTGCTACATTTGCAACGTCAACGGTCAAAGATTCCGAGCAATTTTAGAACCACGACAAAGAGAAATCTCTATTATTTTTAGACAGAGATATCATTTGCCACATCTAGAAATTATTGAAAATACCAGAATATGTATAAATTGTTTCCAGCGTGTAGAAAGGTTTATAGAATTGTCTGATAATCCATTGGCAATACCAATGGATGTTTTAGCGGGCAATAGAGGTTGCTTTGTATGTAATAATGACAGTCGGACAAGGTTATCGTTAGATGCACGTGTCGACTTTTTTGCAAAAACTAACATTTTCATCCCCAGCCATACACCATGTTGTGTTAATCATTTAAATTCTAAGGGTAATGTGGAAATTCAGCACATGAATAATAATATATCATTGCCCATGAATGTGCTAATAATGACGGGCAGGGAAATACATGAATGGTTTCTGGCATTAAAAGACTACAATTCAAGTAGTTTTGATACTGAAGAAAATTTTGGGGATGAGGAATTTAAAAAGTTGACCTCTATAAGCAAGCGGCAATTTGCGGATTTATTCAATACATGCCAACCGGTAGTGATTTATGGAAAAAGTCGTGTGCCAACTAAAAAAGACATGATTGCATTCTTAATGAAATTAAGGCAGGGCTTATTGGATGAATTTATTAAAGTAATTATGAGTTACACATCCCGCCAGGCTGTGAGTTTAGCAATTACCATTGTCAGAACTACTTTAATCCTAAACTTTGTACCAAATAATCTAGGATTTCATTGTCAAGAATTAAGAGATAGACGACAGTTTATTGAGCGCCATGTTACAAGCGTTTCAAATATATTGTACAATCCACAGCCCCAAAATCCCCAAGCCATTCTCTTTCCGGATTGTACTTACTTAAAAGCCCCAAAAAGTTGTAATTTTAGAACTCAAAGACAATCCTTTTCATCCCATAAGCGGTATACATTATTTAAAGCCGGACTAATAGTAGCTCCTGATGGATTTATAGTCGATGTTCACGGTCCTTACTTTTCCGACAGCAGGAACAATGATGCAGCAATATTGAGAAAAGAAATGGAAGAGGATATTCAAAACATAAGACAATGGATACAGGACGGAGATGTATTTGTCGTTGATAGGGGAAATAGAGATGTAGAATTTCTTGAAACACTAAACCTGAATTGTGAAATACCACCGTTTTTGCCAAGAAATCGTCAACAGTTTACCACCGAGGAAGCGAACTATGCTCGTAAGATTACCAAAACGCGCTGGATTGTAGAATCGAGGAATGGGCATTTAAAATCATTGTACAAGTTCTTTCGAGATGCGATACCTATGCAAAATTGTTACAAGTTATCAGAATATTTAAAGTTTGGTTGCGCTCTTATTAACGCATACCGAGAACCAATTCATATGCAGGATGAGAGTGACGAGCTGGCACAGCGAATGCTAGAGCTAGTCCAAAATCCTAATAATCCCCTCCATGATAGGATTCTAATGGAAAATCTGCAACTTAGGCGTGGTGGAGGTGCATGGGTTGATATAAATGAAAATGACATCCAGTTCCCTATTCTAACGTTAGAATATCTTAGAACAAAAACATTTGGAACATATCAGGTAAAGCTGTCTCCAGCTTACATCCAGGATACAATTGAAAGGGAAGCCAATAACGAATTTCTGTTTCAAGTTCAGGAATTTGAGCCTGGGCTCATTAGAGCAAAGCTATTCTCCCGATTTACTCAAGTCACAAAGCATTTTCTTTTTATTTCATACTTGCTGCCTCCTGTGCGTGATGGGGACGACCCAATACAAGGAACATATTGTACATGTAAAGTTGGGGCTAGAACACTGGGTATGTGCGCATATATTTCCAGCGTAGTGTGGTATCTAGGCTATGCTCGACACGAAAACGACGTCAATTACCCAACAAACGTCTTACTTAGATGTATCCAAGACGCCGCTAATAAAGATTAGTATTCCAAGAGAATTGTCACTACCCAATAATAGTTTTACCCATTAACAAAAAATGTTACTACGCTAATTAACTCACAAAGTAAGATAATAAATCAGTTCTTGTTTCTTCCATTTAATAAATAATTGTTTTTTTACGATTTTGTGCTTTTTAATTCTGAATGTTGGCTACATCAAGTAAATTTAAAAAAATTAATGTGGTATTTGGCCATTTATACCTAGGTTAATATATTCCAAAGTAATTAATACTTCTATTTCCTTGCATATTCATTGTTTTTTATTGTAACTTATAACAAGCAGAGTTTTCAGATAAATTCAAAAGCATAAATTGGCCTCGAGAAAGTTAAAAAAAAACATTTTCACTTTCTAATTCGCTATATAATGCCGAAACAAGGGCCGGCACACCTAAATCTGTTTTTGTTTTACTACGATTTCGAAAGGGACATGTAAATTGAAACACCCTGTATTGCACAGACATGTAATCATATAACATTCATTGTTCGTTGGTCAAATTAAAAGAAAAAATCACAGCAGCATTCTTTCAGGACGACGATTAGTGGATACTTTTAACGCCTCGCGTACGAACTTTCGGTGCACTTAGAGATTTGGCGCAATGATGAAAAATGCTTATTTTTGCAAGTACTATAACATATTAAAATTTAAAAAAATCGACTGGTCCCCGAAAACTCATAAGAAGTGTGCCGTCTCATTTGTGACGGAGTAATGACCGCTAGTACAGTAGTCAAGCCAATTGGAAATAAAATTCCGATACGTATTTTAAATACGAACGATAGGGAAATTAAATTAAAGAATTTTAAACCGAAAATAAAACAATTATTTTCTTATAATGTACATTCTTTTAGTAGGGTACCTATAACGGTAGACAGATTATTAAATACAATAAATACTAAATCTCTTAATAAAGAGGACAAATTATCAATAGATAAAATTTGTGCAAAATATGCAGATACATTTTATATCGAAAACGATCCCTTTACCGTTTCTAACATTTCTCAACAAAAAATTCATTTGAAAAACGGGACAACTCCTTCATATGTAAAGCCCTATAGATTACCCTATTCACAAAAAAGTGAGATACATAATCAGTTAGATAAAATGTTAAGAAAAGGTATCATAGAGCCGGCTGCATCTGAGTGGTCGTCCCCTCTTTTAATTGTTAAGAAAAAGGGAACTGATCAACAAAACCAATGGAGGGTTGTTATAGATTATAGGCAACTTAATAACAAAATTGAATGTGATAGGTTTCCCTTACCTAATATTGATGAAATATTAGACTCTCTATCAGGTGCAACTTATTTCTCAAATTTAGATTTATATCAAGGTTACTATCAGATAGAGTTAGATCGAGAATCTAGGTCTTTTACCGCATTTACAACTGATAGTGCACAATATCAGACGACCAGGTTACCCATGGGGCTAAAAATTTCTCCAAATGCTTTCTCTAGAGCGATGACGTTAGCTATGTCGGGATTAAATTATGAGTCTTGCTTTATTTTTCTCGATGATTTAATTATATTTGGTAATAATCTTAAGGAACATAATAAAAACTTAATCAAAGTGTTAGAAAGGCTAAGAAAGGTAAACCTTAAGTTAAATCCAGTAAAATGTGAATTTTTAAAAAAGAATTATTGTATTTAGGTCATGAAGTCTCTGAAAAGGGTGTTGCGCTAGATCCCGAAAAAATAAATGTTATGCTGAATTATCCGGTACCTAAAAATTCCGGTGAAACAAAACGATTTGTTGCTTTTGCAAATTACTACAGAAAATTCATTAAAAATTTTGCGGAACTGGCTGCTCCCCTTAATAAATTATCAAAAAAAGGAGTTATATTTAATTGGTCTAAGGAATGTCAATGTTCCTTCGAAAAATTGAAATCAGCTTTAGTAAGTCCTCCAATTTTAGAATTTCCTGACTTTTCGGAACAAAATAAATTTATATTAAGGACAGATGCTTCCGGAATAGCACTTGGGGCGACACTGTCAAATGGCAATGATAAACCAATAGCATATGCTAGTAGGGTATTAAATAAAGCTGATAGAAATTATGCTGTAATTGAAAAAGA